CACACAAATTAATAAGAATTTGATATGACGTCATTTTTAGAGCCGCACCAAATTCATGGAGAGCTCAGATTATTATTTGCTGCTCTGTTAGTTTCAGCTCGTCACAGACGATACACGAGACAGCAGAAACACCCTTTAACCTTACATCATTTGTCCACCAGAGGCCGCTCTGCATCTTCCATGTTTATGTTTGAAACGCCACAAACCGCGAGCAGCTGATCCGACCTGGGCAGAGGGTAAAAACGAGGAAAGAGAAGGACGAAAGGAGTGACAAATATCGGCCGAGATGTCTGAATATTGGCTTTTAAATCACCGAATATCAGTATCGCTGTTAAAAATCTGATATCGGTCGGGCTTATCAGTTTAACACAGACTGACTGTATATAAAAGATGGACTAGCACAGCGTGCGGTCACCCATTGGCTGGTCTGATCAGCGTCATGGTCGCCGACAGGAAGTGATCATATCTGATCACCGAGGCAGCGAAATGTGTCAGCTGCTCTGACCAGTATCACATGAACTAACCTGCAGCAGCAACGTGCAGAAACCTCTCCACCAATCACACCTTTCACCTTCATGAAACACTCACCTGTCCTCTCAGGTGGACTCTGTCCAGCTTTGTCTGTCAGGTTTGTCTTCAGGTGAGTTCAAGTGTGTCACAGGTAAAGAGGAGGCAGCCGCCCCTCCCTCCCTCTCGCTCCTCAGCCCCTCCCAGTCTTTTTTATTTAAATGTGGGGTGAGCGAGGCCAGCTCACCTGCAGGTAAATTCTCTCTCTCCTCAGTCATACTCACCTGAACCTGAAAATCACCTCCAGTCGCTGCACAGACAGCAGCCTCAGAGGAAGGAAAGGAAAAACTGTGGAGGACTTAAAGAGGAGGAAACGTGGAGAGGGAGGAGACGACAGGTGGAGGTCTTCACCTGAAGGTGGAGACACGCTGAAGATCATCAGGTTCATCTCAGACACTGAGAACACTTTTAAAGGTGGACTGACGATGAGCCTGGTTGTGTTTTTGGTTTCTCTGAAGAACAGATAAATGTCCAGCAAAGACGAAGAGGACGGTTTAAGGACGGCCGACAGGTAGAGCAAAGACTGTACGTCTGTGAGGTCACAACACGCCAGACCTCCCCACTCTGAGCTCCTCTCGCCGCCTCTTCTTACCTGTGCTCAAGTCAGAGGTCTCCTCACATGTCCTGAAACCTCTTCACAGACTAGGACTGGAGCTGGACCTCAGGAGGCTGGTTAAACCTCTGACCTCTGACCTCTGACCCAGGTTTGCTCAGATATGACGTCACTGTGCATCAAAGCTTTTGCATCTTTGTTTTCCTCTCACAGATTCTCATGTGATTCAAATGTGGGCCAGACGCTCATGTTAGCAGGTTAGTGTTCAGGAGACGAGCTTCGTTACACGACGGGGAGAAACGAAACGAGTTCACATGATTTTATCTTTAGCAGCTGTTCTTATCTTTGGCTCATCGTTTAATCGTTTTGTGATCAATGTGCCCACGTAAAGTGTTGATAGTGCAGTCTGATGGTAAAATTACACAGTGTGATATTTCTCAGCCACAGGTTTGCACGTTACTCAAGTTTTTTATGTTCAGCATCATTTATTAAACCAGTTTAAGCCAGTCTGTAGTGCTGTGAAAATCCCACCTGGTGCAGGTGTAACATGGAGAGTCCCACCAAGGGTCCTTCTGCCGTAACCACAGAAATGATTTTAAACAGG